CGAATGGGTCTTAGGGGGCGCTCATCCACGATGGGATCTTTGGGCGGGCGATCCGACGGCGCAGGCTCGCCAACACCACCTGGCGGGCCCAGCGGAAGAACTTCGACCTCCACGGCAGGAAGAAGTAGCTTCAGCAATCTGTTTGGCTTGAGTTCAAGATTTCGTCAGAACTCCGAGCCCCATTCACCCCGGCATGGTTCACCTGCTCACGGGTTTCTAGGAAGCTCAGGCTTGTCATCGCATCAAAACTCGATGAACATCAGCCGGGAAACACTCATTCTACCAGAGCGTGAAGAAGGCGAGACGCCTGGACGGTACCTGGAACGAATCGAGGCGAATAACTTCGATAAGAGCGTCGTTGCCAGCTACCTTAGCAAGACCGACGACCCCTTCCTGCTTGCCGTACTTAGAAGCTACATGCGGAAGTTTGCGTTCTTTGGCGACCCAATCGACATGGCGATTCGCAAGTTGCTCATGCAGGTTGAACTACCCAAAGAGACACAACAAATTGACCGTGTCCTTCAGGGTTTCGCCGACCGGTATCACGAATGCAACCCCGGTATCTACATCAACACAGACAAAGCCTACTTCATATCTTTCTCCATTATCATTCTTCACACAGACGTCTTCAACAAGAACAACAAACGGAAAATGCAAAGACCTGACTACATCAAGAACTCGTCCTGCGATGGCGTCTCGGCTGACGTCCTCGGCTGCTTTTACGACAACATTGTCTACACTCCATTCATTCACATTGAAGACGAGGTTGACCTGAAGAACATCACCTCGAAGAAAAGCAAGAGAGTCGCTGTCCTGAAAGGACCAATGAACGACCCGGCGCGGAAAGCCGCGAAGGAGCCCATCGATCCGTACACATTAATCTTTGAAGGCAAGCTGGACGCGCTCCGACCCACGATCCGAGACGTAATGCAACTGGACGATCCGTACAACTACACCGGCACGACTGCGACGCTAGACACCAAGAACATCTACAAATTGTTCTCCAAATACGGCGTGATACAGATTGTCTCCTCGCGATCGAGACCGGAAGCCTTCATGTCTGAAGCTGCCCAAGAGAATCCCTTCGGAACCTCGGTCGGCATCGTCGAAATGCCAGTGACAAAAGTGGGAGTTTTGTGGAGAAAGGACACGAAGAAAAAGAAGGCCCGATCGCCATGGCAGGAATGGGGCGCCGTTCTCACTCGATCGGGGTTGTCTCTATTCCGGAATTCTACTTGGACGAAGAACTTGATGAGCCAGCACGAGCAACATCTCAAACGCGGCGACACAGGCCCGGTCATATTCCAACCTGCCCTACCCGACTTCAAGCAAGACCACATCATCCCGATGGACGGTGCGGTTGCGCTTGTCGATGCCACATACAAGAAACATAAGAATGCGTTTGTCATGTTCTCCAAGGCAGGCGAGGAGACATTCTTGGCCGACAACGAGAAGGACCTGAACGAGTGGCTGGGTGTGCTGAATTATACTGCTGCGTTTGAAACACTGGGTGTTCGGTCAAGAGGCATGATTGGTGGGCTGTACGAAGGCCAGAAGAACCGTGGCATGCGGCGCCTGGAGTCATCCCACTCGACCAAGACGATACCAACAGCCACTGGCGAAGTTACCATAACAAGTGGTAAGATCGACAATCAGTTTGCACAACAGATGATGAACGCTAGGAAAGATCTCATGCAGGTGCGCATTACGGAGTCCGAGGACAAGCTCACCAATGCTATCAAAGAGCTGGAAGCACGCTTACGAGATGCAAGACATCTCCAAATTCTTGCGCCCATTCAACCGAAAACTCGCGAACTGGTCATACACGCTGCCGGTCGGTTATCAGCCAAGCTTAAGTGGACCCGTATCGACATTTGGCGGATGAAATGTCATCGTGACATACTTGCTCAAGAATTGGAGGACGAGAGAAAAGGCCTCGCAGATAAACAAGCGCAAGATGACCAGCCCTCGGAATTTATTCAACAGCCGCAAGTCTCGCCTCAACAGTTGTCGCACAGAGCGTCAAAAGTTAGCGGACTAGCGCGGTTGACTTCCAAGACCAGCTCAATGAACAGCGGCAACAAGCAAGCTCCATTGTCTCCTACCTCACCGGGCCGTCCAGGGACCAAGTCCTCTAGGGAGACTGAATTCGGTGGAGATGAAGCATTCAAGACACCACCGGAGACATCTCGGCAGTCGAGCCCCAGGGATCCATCGGCCCAATTTCAACCTGGGCCTATGTTTGGCCCTGGCTCATCTGATCGTCGAAGCTCATTTGCGAGCTCCTCGGCACATTCTCCGAGGATGTATCCCTCCGATCACAGGCCTTCAATATCAACGACTGGCGATGGCACAATAGGCTCCGATTCTGATTCTGACTCTGAGGACGGGTCTCGGTACGCGACTCCGCCTCCAGGCGAGGCGGGTGATTTGGAGCCCATGTCACCAGAGCCGACACCTGGAGAGAGCCCCCGACCAGAGCCTGTCGTTGATTCTGACTACGAACAATCCCTTGCTGCTTTGACAGGATCGCCCAGGTCTCACACTAAGCAAAGAAGAAGTCTACAGCGCACTCTTCGAGAGTCCCGTGGCAGCTCTTCTCACCGCCGCAGCCACAAGAGCAGAGACTCGTCGTCGACAATCACACTCGCGAGTGACAATACCGAGAGCGAGGGACTGGCGCGCGGCAAGGGCAGCTTTACAGTCCATGGCAAGAAGGCATCTGTGATCCAATTCGGCTCCGACTGGCACAACACCACAGCCGAAGAGCGCTTGGCGGCGAAGAAACAGCTCCAGGAGGCTGCCGAAGCGATCTCTGCCGATGAGCGGGATGGCACGGCAGCTGCGCTTTCTCCAGGAAGCGAAGACAATGACCCGTTTCGCCCCCGGAAGTTGTCGGCAGGCACCACAAAGCAGCGACACGTATCGTCTCAGACGATAACGCCAGCAAACTTTCGCGAGTCCTTTAGAATAGAACAATCTGACTCTGACAGCGAGTCTGACATGAGCGACATTGCCGAAGAGACGCAACGAACGTCCGACGACCAACCAACGATGAAGGGCAAAGACCCTGTTACCGAACACGTGGAACGGCCTATACATAATCTCGAGGCCTCACCAGCCTAACACAAACTCCTCTCTTCTCTTATTTCCTTCGCATTCTGGATTTCAAAAGTGGATTTATGGTCATACCAGCATCGCTTGAGCGGCTTCTGTTTCTCCTTTGTCTATTCTACATACTCTTCTTCGGAACTTGTACGCACAAAGCATGGCGCATGCGGGCATTGAATTGGAAACGCGACGGGGGCGCTTTTATACATGCATAGACGGACTCTCGGATTGGCGTTTGCTCGAGATTAGGATTGATGGAAAGCAAAGTAGGGCTTGGTGTCAGGGCATACGGTCGATACCAGTGTTGCTGCTGTTTGTATGTGAATTACGATGTTCCCTTCGTGGATCAAAATATCGAACTACCGACTTATACGTGTGCTGTTATGGTGTTCAGTGCCGATGTGCCGGCTCCGTGGTGATGGCGCTAGTACCGATTAGTCACCCAGCCTTCCAGAACCGTTTCCCGTTACCAGTACCGACTCCTCCACCACACCTCAACTGGTATGCATGACCGCGATCCATGACTGCGCTTCAGTCGCTTGCCCACATGTCTGCAAAAACCCGCCCGCCCTGCGCCTCAATCCCCTCACCTCGGGCAAAGCGGCATTGAACACCTCCTTCTCACCCTCCTGAACCCCATCCTGCATACGCTCCTGAACCCATCCTGCATGCCTTCCAACAGCCAAACCGCGTTTCGCATGTCCGCCAAAAACCAGGCCCCACTCCACGAGGCACAATAGCGACCCACCTGCTATTGGTAGAAACAGAGAGGTTCTCGGAGCTCGGCAGCCGCCTTGGGCCTAAGCGAAGACGGTATCGATCATCTCAAACCAGAAACGTCGCGGTGGCCCCTACCAGGTGGACGTGACAGCCCTGTCAGAAATGTCGCGAAGTGTTTGGTCGTGAACTGGTGATACAGGGAGGTGTGCCTTATTGCCGTTTACGCGCCTGAGGGGTATGATCTCACGATGGGTTAGCTGTGAGGTAGGTGTGTTCATAAGAGGCGAGTGTTGCCGCGCTGTTTTTGAAGTATCGATCTTTGTCGGTTTCGTTCGCCCCAGTCAGTCTTTACACTTACGTTCTCTTTTTCGTTCTTTTGCTTGCCCTCCGGTTAGGGTGTTTTACCTTACTTTTATTGAACGCTCGTTGATTATCACTATACCCATTCAACGCTGTTACATATTTCTTGCCGTATACATACAAGACGGAATCTTCGAAGACGAACACGAAGATGTACGCCCACGCCTTCACCGCCCTCACGCTCCTCAGCGGCCTTGTCATTGCTGCTCCTACGGCCAACATCATACCCCGTCAAGGCAATGCCTGCTTCATCGTTGGCAACGAAGTCCTTCCAGGCGAGACGGCCACTGTAGTCCAACAAATCCAAGACAAGGTCACCTGCGACGCCAACGCAAAGACAATCGAAAACGTCCCCGACGTGACCTCAGGCGGCCAAACCTTCTCCAAGATCAACTTCGCTGCCTCTGGTCAAAAACCAATGGAGTTCGCCACCAGCACCTTCTTCACCGCTGTACCACTTGCCGACTCCAACCTCGAGGCTTTCCAGGACGCGCTTAATGTTTACCTAGCCACTGAGGCCGGTCTACGCAGCTCGGGAGGCAACTTTGGAATCATCAAGGCGCCCAAGTTCTTCCTCGAGATGCAGATTTCACGGATCCAGACTGCGAGGGGCCAGCCGCCTACTGACCCGGCTCAGCAGGTCGACCACTTGAGGGACAAGGTTATCGAGAACAACATCAGGGAAGACCAAGCGATTATGGATCAGGTTACTCAGTTGGCTACTCAGCTCTCTTAGACTCGACATGAATACCTCCAGCCAATATGTAGTAAAACCGTCAATTAATCATATGATACCCGTCACTACTTCTTCACAACTTGCTCTCGCTACTACCACCCACTTTCCCTCTCCACCCCGTTAATGTAGCACCGCCGTCCATCTCTACCGCGTTACCAGTAATATGAGCACTCGCCTTACTGCTCAAGAACAAGACCAGCCCACCAAAGTCACTCGGCTTGCCAATGCGGCCAGTTGGCTGTCCTGCCGTCAACGCATCTGCGAATTTCTCCAGCCCAAAGTTCGTCATGCGCGAGGGGAAGACGCCGGGGCAGATGACGTTGACCATGATGTTCTTCGGGGCGAGTTTCGAGGCTTGCATCTTGGTGAGGTGGATGCATGCTGCCTTTGCTGGGCCGTCTAGATATTTCGTTAGTAAAAACCAGTCTGGTAAAGGAAGTAATTGGGACGTACAGCTATAAGTCCCAGTCCCCGGATTACTCAACCCCCCACCCTCCCCCGTCGTAACATCCACAGTCGTAATACCCGCCATACTAGCAATATTAATAACCCTGCTCGGATTATGCGCATCCGCCCCCTTTGCCAACAGCCCCTCACACTCGACCGTCATATAAAATATACTCTTCACATTCAACGCATACAGTTTATCCCACGCATGTTCCGGATAGTTGTAGTAATCATCGCCCCAGCTCGCGCCCGTGTTGTTCACCAGCACCGTCAGGCGGTCTGTTTGCTTCTTCAGCTCCGTGCACAGAGCGAGGCAGCCGGCTTTGTCTTTTAGGTCTGCGACGATGTAGGAGCATTTTCCGGGGCCGAGGGCGTTGAGGCGCGCGGTGGTGGAGGCGAGTTCGGATTCTTTGCGGGACGCGATGAAGACGCGCGCGCCGTTTTGGATGAAGGCTTGGGCGGCCATTTCGCCGAGGCCGGTGGCGCCGCCTGTTACGAGGACGACGTGCGAGGTGTAGTCGAAGAGCGTGCTGACGCGCAGGTCGTCTTTGGAGGCGGCGTGCGTCATGGTGGGTGGTGGTGTGGATGGAGGGTTGTGGGGTGGCTGAGGTGGAAATGGGTGTAGAGGTGAGGTCGATCGACTTTAGGCAGGCTTCAGGGAGGTATGTGTATATGCACAGAGATGCGCAGACGCGTCGAGGTCGATTCAGCCATGCCGGCAGAGCTGTGGTGGAGAGATGGCATGGACCTCGGCATCTTGAAGCTGTTTGCGGGGTGCTAGCGTCACTTGCGAACTCCACTGTGACCATTCGAGATATCGGTACGTTTTCTTCGATTTGCACTCAACCCGTAATGATGTGATTCTGAAACGTCTTTACATACGGACCTCCCATCGTACCACTCTGGAGGCGTCCTCTTCGCTGCTTGTTCCACGCTCGGCTTTCAGGTTGTCCAGCATCTCTACTGGGTTCTCTACGAGGTATACGTTACTGAGTGGCATTCCACGAGTGTAGACAGACCGAGGATGTGTCCAGCTACCAACACCAAAGACCCACTTTGTTGGGGGTCGGTCCTCTGGGTTCTCTGCACAGTTAGGGTCATGCTTGATCGCTTCCTTGAGGTATCCAATGGCGGCGTCTATATCCCCAAGGGCTTTGCAAACGACATGTGCCCTGAAGCTCAACAGAGATTTGAGCTTGCCAACTTCAAGCTGCCATTTTTTTGAAGCTAGCGACGCTTCTTGCGCACACATGGGCTGATCGGCTAAGAAACTGATCATCTCTTCAGCATCCTTGCGCGCTTTCTGGAGCAATGCCACACTGTCAGATGAACCCGTTGAGAATCTTGGAAATGCGATACTTCTCAGGTTCGCAAGTGAACCCCTTGAACCCTCCTCTTTCGACTCCAATATACCTGCGCGATGGCAGAGGGCTTGTATTTCGCCTGCAGCGATGTCGCAAGTCTGGAGCCATAATTCAAGAACCCCGTCTCTCGATGTGTCGTTGCGTATGTCGTCGGAAAGATATGCATAGGCCATACGAGCATGCTTGATATCGTCCAGATGGTCAAGACAGTAAATAGCAGGCCGCTCTCTCATCAAGTGCTCTCTTAACTTCATGGCCCAAGGAGAAGTGATCATGTCATTGGTGCTCACAATGTGAAATCTAACGCGGGCCTTCGAAATGGGAAGCAGCAGAGGTTCAATGAGGATCTCTTGGGCTCGTTCAAGCGTGTGTGAGAATGTCTCAAAAAGCGACACATATAGGGAAGTGTTTCCAGACCTGACGCAGGTTAAGATCCGCCTTCATGGTATAATGAGAACTGCAATTACTCACCGATTTTGATGACCTTTGCCAATACGGATCAAGATCGGCAGGCTCGAGGCTGGCAGCAAGAAACACGATGTATTCTCCATAGGATTGGGGTTGCGGTTGCGGGTCGTGTGAAATTCGAGTTCCATTGCCACAGGAAAACCTGAAAAGTCCTTCTTGACAATCTCATCGCAGGATTGCAGTTGTGAGATAAGTGGTACGCGCGGGCAATCCACCCGGCGGCCGCTGGAATACCTAGGATACCCGGGTAGCGTGGGTATTGTTTTGTCGAACATGCTCCGAAGAAACCATGGGTGATTACTCTTAACAACCACGCACAGTTGACGTCTTAAAAACTGGAAGATCTCTGCGTTGATTTGCCGGCTCAATGTAAGCAGCTTACATAATGGCGATGAGGGTGCAGACGTCTGAGGAGGTACATCTAAGCAGCGGGTTCCGGGTCTTGGAGCTACTACACGTCCCGTCTCGGCAACTGAAAGATACGGATCGCTGCATCCAGCTGGAGTGTAGGTCAAGAGCTCGTGATAAATCTGCTCACGGATTGTGATCGGTAAAGTCTGGAAAGTGTTCATTACGAGAGGCTGATGGCGGTAGTAGTGTCGTGAAGAGAAAGTGGTGTCTACCATGATTCGAGAAGAAAAGGCGATGTAGCCTGCAGGCATACCTATAAGGCTCTAGCGTGGTCCCAACCGTATGATTAGGCAACCAAGATCCTTAGAATTGCACGCCTGACAGATGACTCACGTTATACCTAAATTGGGATGTAGCGATATGTACCTCTTATCGAATGCTGCAGCTTCATGCAAGGCGAAATGACGTGTTGTGCTGCGCCTAGGTAATTACCTAGGTACAAAAGGGCCACTCGCGTCCACCATGGTTATAGCCAAAACACTTGCTGCTCACCCAGGTAGAAAAGCGCAATGATCCAACTACCTGTCGAACTCCAACGGGGTTGCATCGATTTCCTTTCCGACGATTTGGCGGCACTTAAGGCCCTTCGCCTGGTAAACAAAGGATTCCACGAATTGGCCTCCGAGAGTCTCTTCCGCACAGTATCCCTCACCAACGTTGGAAACAGCCCTGAAAGATTTTTGAATATCATTCATTCCTCTTTACGAAAGCATGTACGTCATGCCATCATCAATACTTCCGAGCACCCCGACAGGGAGCAGAATGAGGAGGAGGAGGAGGAGGAGGAGGATGACGACGATGACGACAACGGGAAATATCTAGCGGATGAACCAGACATTCTCCGTACCTTCGCCGACGCCATCGCAAAACTTCCACAGTTGGAGAGTTTGAAGCGGATAGAGCTAAAGTTCTCGAGCATTTGCACCGTGAAGGATTACACTCACACCAGATACAGAGATACTATGCTGCAGATTAGAGAGGATGAAAATTTCCGGGCAAAGATCCAGGATCTTTGCTTCCAGGCTTTGGCGCAAAGCGAGAGCTTCGAGAGTCTTACGATCCAGAACTTGCAGGATGCAATGCCTCAGGATGTTATGGAATCAAAAAGCTTCCTGGCCGTCAGAGAGCGCTTGACAGAATTGCGACTGAGAATTCTGAGGTACCACGTGGAACCGGAAGGTGGACAGAGCACCTATGCAGACGCGCAGCACAATGGTTTGAGACGTTTTCTCCCGAAGTACTGGTTGAAGCCCACCACCAATCAACTCACACGGTAAGTCTCTCTGTACAAGTCTAGAGCTATATGTGAGTCATGTTCTGATTTTGCAAATAAATCTCTAGTCTTACGCTCGATTGCGATTGCCTCTGGGGCGTCTGGCCTTTCACGGACTTGCGAGAGATTGAACCGTTTCCACACCTCAAGTCGTTGTGTTTTGGCAATTGGACCATCGCGCATGACTGGCAGGTCGACTGGATCGTCGCGCATGGAGCTACACTGGAAACTCTACTTCTTTGCGGTTGCGGTGTTGTTCGTTATCTGGCTTTGCTCGACAGGGGAATGAAAGCGAACTTCCCTCAGCTACTTCCACAAACGGGTGATGACGAGACTGAGGATGAGGATGACGAAGGGAGTGATGATGAGGGTGACGATGAGTTTGACAGCTTCGGTCTTTCTTATGGACCTGAATGGGAGGTTGAACCGGATATTCGTTGGCATCAAGTATTCGAACGCTTCCGAGTTGGCCTCCAACGTCTTCGATACTTTAAGTTGGGCTATTCGCAGGACTATCCCTTCGATAGCCGCTACAACACGCGGTCCGATCACCCCATGAATGCTTACTACTCCCTTGATTGTCGCAAACCACCGGGGTTCGAGCCAATCGGGTGGGACATCTACAAGCCTGAACTTGAGGAAGAAGCTCAGCGTAGGCAAGAGACAGACCTTGAGGAGGAGGATCGGAGTGCTCTGGCTGCACTGATGGAGACAGTGGAACAGCGGGCTCACAAGGATAATTGAAGTGAACCAAGAATGGTCCTAGACGGTAGCCGAATACATCTTGGTATACTCATTGCTCAAGGCTCCCGTACTCCGTACTCCGCAGTCGCGCAGTCTTTTCCCTGAAAAGAAACTGAAAGCATCTTGCTAGGTTGACTAGACTCGCGTAAACTGACATCGAAGACACCGGGTACAACCATCGGCCTTCTGAACTGCACCTCCATCCATGAGGAAGTGCTGAACGGTGACTGCGAGCTCCTCGAGTCCTTCAGTTGATGCAAAGCTTTAGCGACTGCATGATTTCCGTGCGCAATCTTTCCAGGTAGACCAAAGGCCTTCGCCGCCACTCCCGATAGGTGAATGAAGTTGTAGTCCTTACAAATCGCAGCCCATTTCAGCGGGTCGTCGACTGACATCGATACCTGTGTGGTGCTCTCAGACATCTGTGGTATCGCCATGCTAGACCTGGTCTCATGTGAACTGTTCCGGATTTTCTTGGACTGTGACTTTCTTAGTTCTAGCATGGTGAAGATCTGGCGAAAGATGATATCCACAGTTCCATCCTTCCTACCAGTGGGAGTGGTGAGCACGACCTCCAGATCCCACTCGATGCCTCGTTTTGCTTGTCGTGGGTGGTTACTTGCAATCGCATTCAGACGGGCTGTTCGTAGATCTACGAGTCTCGACAGATCGCATAGGTCGGGGCGTAATATCTCGAACCTATTGCGCACGTTGACTGCGCCTAGTGGATTGATGGGACACCAGGGACTGGCGAGTAGAAGTAGCATTGCGGGCTCGGTCATCGCTGAAAGAAACAGCATGAGTTGCGGTGCTGAGAGCTCTTCTCCTGAGTTGTTTGTTCCTCCAACTGCCGATTGATACCGAACAACATCGTCTGCATCTAGAGTGAATGGCGAGTCAAGCTCTAATGCTGAAAGCTTGATGCGCGGAAACCCGGGAATTGCGTAGAAAATTGACTTTGCTATCATTGACAGGATCGCTAGCACGACCTCCCCCATGCGAAGTGAGGCTGGGGAAAATGCCAGAGTGACTCTTCTTGGGCTAAACAGCAATGGCGTCAGGCGGTACCCGAATGAGACGAGCACGCCGAACAACATGCCCGATATAAGAAATAGTAGCATGCTGGAAGGCTTGCGATGAATCCGATGCTCCTAGGTACATGTGCAGGTCGTGGATGCCAGATGCAGAGGACCTCGGGAGTGCCTCGGTAGCTAGCGTCGCCGATGACGTCATCACTGATGTGGAAGGCACAAGCGCAGCAACCAGCCACCTTCATGCCCACTGTAAGTGCCACCCCTCGCATCATGCCAAAGAAGGCAAAATTTGTCAAAAGTTCTCCACGACGAGCGGCCTCGTCCGTTTGCTCAACCTCTTCGACCCAGCCCTCTCCATCCAAAGCTCATCCGTCCTCGCGAGGCCCATGACGGCGCACCTTCTCCAACACTTCCGATGCCCACAGTTTGGGCATTTGTTTCCGGCGCGTGCGAACGACCATATTCTCTCACCTAGAGAAATTAGCAAGTCTTGATGCGAATGACCGAGGCAACATACAACGATGACAGCACCAGCTGTAAGTCGCGTCTGGGTTTGCATTGCTTGCAATATTTCCCATAGCTGCATGCGGTCTTTCCTGCGATCTGAGAGGACGTAAGGCTCGGTCTCTTTGAGCTAGTATGGACGACAGATGCGACAGAGATATTGTGTGCGGTTCGACCAAGTGCTGCACATGAATTGAAGCGCTGCCAGGCTTGAAGACAGAACTTCTGTGTGTGGGTATCAGATTTACATGCTACAGTAATGGGAACGAAAACATGATTCGGGGCCCTTGATATGTACCAGAGCTCGCGCTGTCTGCTTACGTTGCTTCCACATTCACAGATCACCGCCAGCACGATCTGTGAACACTGAAGATCTTGCGAGGCGTTGTACGACGTGCGCCCGAAAGCTAGACTGTCAAGATACGTAGTTCGGGGGCTTACTTCATAGGGCCCTTCATTCTACGGGATGTTGTCTGGTTGGTGGACTACGAAGATCAGGGCTACTTTGATGTGCCAGGAAGATCCAGGGGCAGTGTTACTGATACAATTTGTAGACTACCCCCGAAATGGCACCTGGCCAGAAATACAGACAAACTAAGGCCTAGATTGATAGTTCCCTTGCCAAAGCTCTGCCGGGCTACGATCTGAAGCACTGCCAGGCATCTCTGCAGGGCTGTGATTTTGGCCATCTGCTGAATGTTGCCAGTCACCAGCCATTTCGGAGACGTGCGTTGACGGTGCGGGGCGCACAACCGTCTGAGCGTACTTTCCTTCTCCATCCTGGTACGTGGGATCTGCCGGGTGGTAGACGTATTTGTCTTGTCCAACATCCGCATCCGCTTGTTCCGTACTAACATTCTTCCGTTTCCTTTTGAACAAGAACCATAAAAGCGCCCCAACTATTGCTATCCCAACAATCGGCCCCACGACCGCGCCAGCTATCCAGCTTTTACTCGAAGAAGCAGTATCATGAGCTGATGGTATGTCGGTTGTTATTGGAGATGGCGTTGCGATAGTACTCGTGTTGCTTGGGGTGGTCGAAGGCTCGAACGTGAAACTTGAGGTACCTACACCCAAATTCAGTTCACAGACTTCGCTTCAAGCTACTCACGACTTACTGCTTGGTCTGGCTGTAACTGTATTAAAAATGGTAGATGGTTCAGGCGGCCCGCTAATATAGAATCCCGACGACGATATCTGTTCCGTGAACGGGTCTTCTGCGCCAACGGGTGTGAAGCGTAACACCCAGTAGTCGTTGGCTATCAGTGCCGAAGAAGGTATGTTGACATCCCACTGAAACGATGTAGTGCTGGTCATATCAACGCTTCCTACATAACCTTTGACTTAATTACTGCGACATCACACGTTTAGAGTCGAACGGCTTCACTCACCAGCGATCTTGAACTTGTAGCTCTGATCCATGAAGCTTGTGACCCAAAAGTCGAGCTTCTTGACATCGCACGAAGTACAGTACGTGTTGAATGCATATTGAAGCTCGGACTTCCAGCGTATAGTGAATGGTGCACCACTTTGCAAGCTCGTAGATCCGTTTGGAGTCGCAGGCGCAGTCCAGCTGTCCTGTATGGTTTGACACCATGCTCCAAAGATGAGATTAGTGTACAAGAGGAGCAGCGCTAAATGTAGAGCCATCTTCGCGCAGGGTATGAGGACACGAAGTCGCGTAATGGTAGATGAGAAACTTGCAAAGACGCTTCTTCTCGGCGCAATGGTGATCGCCTGGGTATATTGACTCCGAACACCCAAACGACGAGACAGTGCAGCTACATCAGGGGCTAGCAGCGCATATGAGGGAAGTTACAGGTTTTGGAATTACCAAAGGATTCATGGCGGACGTATTGTGATAGAACTTGACCAATAAGCGCATCTGTTGCGATCAGGAATCAACTACGCCACAACCTTGCAGAAGTCGGAATCCGAGCGTTTCGCGCAGCGCGTAGCACACCGCATAGTCGTCAACGCTGGTTTATACCAGGAGGTAATGCTGTGGCGCTCGATAATGTCATTTCAAATTGGCGTTATCAATGTAAGAAACGACATGGGGACTCACCATAAGCGCCGATGTTCTTTCAAGCGATTGGGGCGCAACACGGCCCCTAAAACTGTTTGCGGCACAGGTGAGAGGTGTCTTACGCGCCGTAACACGAAACAGTCCGAGCACTATAATAGCATTGCAAGCTGCAAGGTATGGCACGGTGCGCGTCAAGTTTCTGCTCAACTCTCTTCCTCCTTCCATGAGTTTCGCGTCGAGTTCTCGCGCCTGCACCTATGAGAGATTAATCATGTTTCTCAGAAAATGGAGATGGAGTGTGATGCTCCTGGTGGCTTTCGTTTTTCTTGTAACCATCACCTCTTTTTCCGCTCCTTTCACCCCATCGAGGACTTCCATCTTCCCATCAGGCCACCATGAACATGCTCCGAGCTCGCATGCGTGTCCAACAAGACCGCCCATGCCAGCAATAACCCCAGATACTGGAGATCGCTTCAACTGGAGAGCAATCTCGATCCGACACCCAGTTGATGAGTATGCGCAGCTATCCTCACAAAAGCCTTTGTCCAGGAGCACTTTGCAAAGATCTCCGCGTCCAAAGTCGCCAGGTGCCGAAGCGATTGCTGGTAGACGAGCGGCTGTCAAGGAGACCTTTCAACGATGCTGGAAGTCTTACAAAGAACGCGCATGGATGAAAGATGAACTGGCACCCAT